CATTGACGGCCCAAGAGGCCCCCAAGATCGCCCCAAGATCGCCCACGAGGTCTCCAAGATGGCCCGATGACGGCCCAAGAGGCCCCCAAGACGGCCCCAAGAGGGCCCCAAGAGGCCTCCATGACGGCCAAGATGGCCTCCAAGACGGCCAAGATGGCCCAAGATGGCCTCCAAGATGGTCCAAGATGGCCTCCAAGTCCGCCCAATAGAGGAGGAGATGCCTACAAGTCCGCCCAAGAAACCTCCAAGACGGCCCAAGACGGCCCAAGAGGTGCCCAAGGGGCCTCCAAGACGGCCCAGGAGGCCTCCGAGAGGTCCTCCAGGAGGGCCCGAAGAGGCCAAAATCATTGATGCTCCCTAGGTTTTTGACAGATTTTCGTATTTGCTCCTTTTCGGCTTTCCGACGACCCAAGACGGCCCAAGAGGCTCCCAAGATCGCCCCCACAGCGCCCAAGATGCCTCCAAGGTGGCCTCAGGACTGCCCAAGAGGCCCCCAAGACAGCCCCAAGAGGGCACACAGGCGACCCAAGAGGCTTCCAAGACGCCCAAGAAGGTCTCTAAGAGGGCCCTGGAGCATTCCAAGAGGGCCCCACATCGGCCCATAGAGGCCCCCCCAAACGACTTCCGACGGCGTCAGACGGGCCAGGAGCCCACCAAGATGGCCGAAGTTAGTTCGAAACTGGCACAAGACGGCCCAAGAGACCTCCAAGAGGGACTCCAGGAAGGCCAACAGCATTGTCTTTTCTAAGGTTTTTGACGGATTTTGGCATTTGCTTCTTTTCGGCCAATACGGCCCAAGAGCCCCCACAGATCACCAAAATATCGCCCAGTAAGCCTCCAAGACGGCCCCAGAACGGCCCAAGAGGCCCCGAAGACGGCACCAAGAGGCTTTTAAGACGCCGAAGATGGGCCTCCAAGACGGCCCTGGAGCAATCCAAGAGGACCCCAAGTCGGCCCAGAGGGGCCCCCAAACGGCTTCCGACGGCGTCGGACGGGCCAGGATCCCACCAAAACGACCGCAGATGGCTCTAAGATGGCCCAAGACGGCCCAAGAGGCCTCCAAGAGGGCCTCCAGGAAGGGCCGAAAAGGTCATAATCATGGATTTCCCATGAGTTTTTGAAGGATTGTGGCATTTGCGTTTTTTTCTGCCTTCCGACGGCCCGAGACGGCCCAAGTGCACCCAAAGATCGCCCAATAGGCCCACGACGGCCCCCAGAGGCCCCCAAGACGGCCCAAGACCAAGACGCTCAAGATGGCCTCCAAGACGGCCCAAGAGCCCTCCAAGACGTCCTCCAAGAAGGCCTGAAAGGGTCAAAATGGCCTCCAGGCGGCCAAGATGACTTTCCAGATGCCCACGTGTTCCCCGAAGGCTCTCCAAACCGATTCGGGGGCGGCGGTGATTCGCCGTAGGCGTCTTAGATCAACACTTATTGATTTCAATTCGGTGTTTCAACGACTTTCGTGGTTTCGCTGTTTTGCGGTTCCAATTTTCTCAGACAGCCCAGGAGCCCCCCCAAATCTTTCAAGGCGGCCCAAGAGGCCCCCGACAGGGCCCCAAGACGGCCCAGAAGGCTCCTCATACAGCCCAAGAGCGCTTCAGGAGAGCCCCAGGAGGGACACAAGAGGCAGAACTCGAACTCACAGAGCGAGCCCGCCCCCCGAAGACGGTCCCCGCGACCGCTAGCAGGGCCCCGACAGGTTTCGAAGAGGCCACAGGAGCGCCCGAGTGCCCCCCCCCAGAAGCATCAAGAGGCCCCCACAGAGGCTCCAAATCTGACGGACGACCTTCGAGATGCCTTCAAGAGACCAAGCAACCTTTCCAAAAGCCCTCCAAGAGCGCCCCCCCAAAATATCCAAAGAGACTCCCAGCGTGGTTTTGCCGAGCTCTTTTAGCTTTTAGCGCTTCTCGGGCATCCCCCCATTAGGCTGCCCTGGGTCCTCGTCGTGGCTGCCCTGCGCGCCTTCCTGGAGCCTTCCTGGGTGCTTGCAAAAAGAAACGCTGGGGAATTTAAACGCTGGGGGATTTGCAACTTTCGGTCTTTTTCGCAGTTCCACTACGCTGCTTCTCACCCTTCTTCTCGTGGCCAACTTAGCAAACATGTAGCTTGTCCCGGCCGCGTGGCCGATGGACTGGGGGACACCTGTGACAGTTATTGCCCGGCAGCCTGGGGGTGGTGGAAATTCGTTATTCCCCCCCCCCCCCCCCGTAACAAGTCTGTGTGGAAATCTAAACATATCTAGACGGTCGCCGTCCTGGGCCAGCCGACCGGCCAGAGGATAGATTGCGAAAGGGAGGAGGAGGAAGAGGAAGAGGAGGAGGAGGAGGGGGGCGAGGAGAAGGACGAGCTGGTGCGCTAGCGTCACATGGATTTTTATCAACGGCAGAATCGGGGCATCCACCTCTTAGTTATTTTGCACACCTTATCCCTGGGATGCCTGTTCCGGGACCCTCGGGTTCGTACGGCCTTTTGCGTTATTGTGCATTATATTGCATGGTCTGTCACTTGGTTGTTTTCCGACGCATGTGCACAGGCATGATTCCGCAAACGGCATTGCGCTCGCGAGTCTTGTTCTGCCTCTCATTCTTTTGTATTGCATCGCATTGCCTTGCCTTTCATTTGCTTTGCTTCTCGCTGCATGGCGCTCGCATTTGGTTTCCATGGCACTGCGCTGCATCGCCCTGCCAGTGTGGGCACTCCATTCTGAAATTCTGATTTTTTTTTCACAGCTTGGCATTGGTCCGCATTGCCTTGTATGGATGTGCCACTGTACATGATTGATCTCTGTTCGGCCCGCGTTTTTTGACGCTTTGATGTGCCTCATATTCATGCAATGTGTGGGTAAGTATTTCAAAACATCTGTGAACTTGTCAAGGCCTGGGGCTTGTTAGAACCTAAGCGCGCGCGAAGCGCGCGTGGTTCAAGCTTAGAAATTAGCAGCAGTTTCACAGATGAAGGGCGGGCCGTTTTCAAAATGTGGCTCTCGCCTTAGCGCCGCGCACATTTGTTTTTAAGAAATTGCAGGAGTTCCACGGATTGAGAACGACCCCTTTTTAACATGTGATTCTCGCATTAGCGCCGCGCACATGTGTTTTAAACATTTGCAAGAGTTTGGCAGATTGAGGGCGACCCGTTTTCAAAATGTGGCTCTCGCATTAGCGCCGCGCACATTTGTTTTAACAATTTGCCAGAGTTTCACGGATTGAGGGCGGGTCGTTTTCAAAATGTGGCTCTCGCCTTAGCGCCGCGTGCATTCGTTTTTAAACTTCGTGATGGTTTCGCGGAATCCCATGATCAACGTACCAGAATTTGTGTTTTCAAAGGATTCAGGATTATGACGGTGCAACAGTTACGTTGATTCGCGGGGTTGAAATCCCAGGAATGGCGTTCTGCCACGATTCCGGATCGCCAAGACGCAACAATCAGGTTGATCCGTGTCGTTGGAATCCCGAGAACAATGTTTGGGTATGCTTCAGGGTCTTCAAATGGTTGTCTTCCAACGAGGCAGTTCCTTCTGTGGAAAGGAACCGTTGTAGGTGCCTATAAGAGGGAGCTTCGAGGGAGGGATGATTCCAACATCTTTGATGACTGGGGTTTACTTTGGTCCTCCTCCTCCTCCTCCTCCTCCTCCTCCTCCTCCCCGTCCCCATCCAGATCCCCATCCAGTCCCAGTTGGGGATAGACCCCTCGAGGCCCGAATGAGCCGGCCTGTATCCCGTTCTACGGGGGTGCATCGGCCAGTGCGGCCCAGGCGACACTAGTGGGGATAGGGATCGGCTCAACGCTGCTCATACCCGTCGTGCGTTGAAAGTCCGTATTTCAGACACGCGCAGAGGGGGGAAGGAGGGGGGAGGGCTTCTTAGAAGCACCCCTGCATCTTAGAAGGCGCGGGCCTTATCCGTAGATGTAAGGCTTGCGACTTCTAAGAAGCATCCTCCTTCTAAGATGCCCTCCCGCCCTCCCTTCACGCCCTCGTGCGCACAGCCATGTATTGTTGGAGGTCCAGGTTTCTTGATCTCCAGATCAGAGGCAGCCCCAGATCTGGAGGGGCCGTCTAGATTGGACCAGGGGCGCAGGATTACCCCCATGGAAGGGGTCGGGACCTCTGGGGCCGCGCACACTGAACAAGTAGCCTTGTCGGATGTCTGGGACAGCAGGGGGCGGACCGGCCAAGGTGGGGGGGCATCGACATGGGAGGTTTGGCCGAGGGGGAATGGGCTTCGGAAGCAGCATCCCCCCCTTCTCTCCCTTTGTGACGGGGGATCCCTCTATGTCTGTTCGCGTTCCTGAGCTGCCACGCGGCGAGTCGACCAGAACGGTATTGCTGTTCGCTGCTCCTGCGTTGCTACGCGACGAGTGGAGTGGACTTGCATCCATCCGTCCCGCATGCGTTCCCCCGTGACGGGTAGAGTGGGCCAGTCCAGGGTCTGGGGTCTTGGGTCTCGGGTCTTCAGTTCACGCCCGCGCAGCTCTCCGCGAAGCAGGACTGGACACTCCTGCAGCACGGCGCGCGGAGCACTCGTGGTGGCACGACGTTGGACTGCGTGGAGCGGCATGCCAGACATGACCCACCCGCCGCAGCCTCCAGGGCCGCCCGAGGAGCTCCGCGGGCCTCCGTGCAGGAGCCTCCGGGCCTCCAGCCGTTCATCCTGGGGTCCTCCGATGGCTTCCGGGGCGGGATGTCCCGAGGAGCTCCGCGGGCCTCCGTGGCAGGAGCCTCCTGCGGGGTGCCTCTGGGGATCCCATGGCGGACGGCGTGAGGCGGCCCACCTGCGCCGCCCACGTGCTCCGAGGCGTCCACGAGCCTCCTCGGGCCCTGGGCGGCTTCTCTGTCGTGACGCCCCAGGGCATCCCAAGGGCTTCCAGGGCTCCCAGGGGCCTCCAGAGAGTGTCCTGCACGTTTGGCGGGCCTGCAGAGCTCCCCGAGGCCTCCCGGGGCCCCCCGAGGAGGGGCCCCCGGCGACCTCCAGAGAGCCTCCGGAAGGGTGCCTCCCCCGGGAAAAAAGGGTACCAGAGGTTGGCGCGGGGGTCTCCCGCTGGCGCCGCCGACCTGCGGCAGCGACCCCTTCTTCCCACGGGCCTCGAGGGGGGGCTCCGTGTAACCATTTTGGCTCAAGCACCAACTTGTAACACTGGCGCGCTTGCTCACGCGAGCGCAGCGGAACGTTTGCACCGACATCGCCGAACGAGGCTACACCTGAAGGCACCATGAGAGTTGTTTCTGCGGCACTCGTGTGCACAGCACTGGCGCAGCTCTGTGCGGCATCGACTTGCGGCGCGAAGGGTGCCGACAGCACTCCATGGACGACGGGCAGCCAGCGCATCTTCGGGGGGCAGGCAGCCACGCGTTGCGAGTGGCCGTGGCAGGTGTCGCTCCAGACCTCTGGCGGACACTTTTGCGGAGGGACGCTCATCGCCCCGAATTGGGTCTTGACGGCCGCACATTGCTTCCCTCGTTCCTCGTTCTGGGTCGTGGCGGGCCTGCACAGCCAGTCCCAATCGGATACGGTAGGGGTGCGACTGGAGGTGCAGCAAGTGCACACTCATCCAAACTATGTCAATTGGGATCAGGGCTACGACTATGTCCTCTTGGAGTTGGCAAGTGCGGCTCCGTTGAACGACTGTATCGGCCTCGCGTGCTTGCCAGCGGAGGACATCGGTGCAGGTGAAGAGTGCTTCACCACTGGGTGGGGAAAGGTGAATGGAGGGAGCGTCCCTGACTGGTGGGTTTTGGGGCAGGAGGGTGGGGGTGAACATGCTGGACAAATGCAGATTGCCAGGCTCAATGGGGTATGTCAGGGATGACGATCACCGATGACATGCTGTGCGCGCAGGGCTCCAACGGCGGATTGGTAACTGATATATGTCAGGGTGACAGTGGAGGACCGATTGTCTGCGCTTCAGGCGGCAGCTACTTCCTTCACGGTGTTGTTTCGTGGGGACCTGTATCATGTGGCATTCAGAATTTCCCTGGAGTTTGGAGCCGGGTGACTTATGCACGGGATTGGATGACTGGGTTGATGGGGGATTGGACGGTGCCCCCGACGCCATCGCCCGCACCGCCGGCTACAACGACAGCAGCGCCGACCGTTCTCCCAACAGCAGCACCGACAGCTGCGCCGACTACGGCACCAACGCACACGCCGACCGCATCCCCAACAGCAGCACCGACAGATGCGCCGACTGCAGCACCCACGGAAGCACCGACCGCTTCCCCCACGGTATCACCGACAGCTGCGCCGACAGCGTCACCGACCGTTTCCCCAACAGCAGCACCGACAGTATCACCGACTGCAGCACCGACAGAGGCACCGACTGCTTCCCCCACAGCAGAACCGACAGCTGCGCCCACAGCATCACCGACCGTTTCCCCAACAGCAGCGCCGACCGAGGCGCCGACTGCTGCGCCGGTTGTGCCGACTGCTGTGCCCACTAAACATACAACAAGGCCGACCGCTTCCCAACATCACAAGCCACGACTAGCCGCACCGACTTGCACACCAACGGCCAGCGCGACCGCTTCCTCCAACAGCAGCACCGACATCCGCGCCGACTGCGACCCAACTGAAATGCCCGACCGCTTCTCCGAACACGTGCCGCCGACAGCAGCATCCAACGAGAGCAACCGACGGCTGTCCCCAGCGTTGCACCGGGGACAAGCCGTGGCGGGTCGGGGCCGGACCGCTTTTCCCCCACCAGTCAGCACCCAGAAGCACCGACGACGGCACCAACAGCCGCGCCGACTCTTGCGCCGACTACTTCCCCAACAGCAGCACCGACAGCAGCACCGACAGCCCCGCCGACTCTTGCGCCGACTGCTTCGCCGACTGCAGCACCGACGCCCAGTTCTGCGCACATGTGGGCGGCCATTTCCGGCGCGTGTACGCTAGACGGTGCATGTGTGCAGAGCGCGAATTATCCGCAGTCTTACGGCAACAATCAGAAGTGCACGATTGAGATCGACGCGTCGAACGCAGGACCGATCGTCGTGGAGGCTTTCAATGTAGAGTCGTATTTCGACTACATCTTGATCGACGGATGGAAAGTGTATACTGGAACTTCGGGTCCGTCTGGGTTCACCCCGTCATCCAGTATCATGTGGTCGTCCGACTTTAGTGTTACGCGGAGCGGGTGGAAATTCTGCATGCCAGTGTCAACACCTGCACCCCCTCCGACAACAGCACCAACGCCGTCGCCGACCGCTTCACCAACCGTTGCACCGACAGCTGCGCCGACTCTTGCGCCGACTCCTTCGCCGACCGCTGCACCGACGCCCGGTTCTGGGAGCATGTGGGGTGCCATTTCCGGCCCGTGCGTGCAAGACGGCGCATGCGTACAGAGCCCGAACTATCCGCAGTATTACGGCAACAGCCAGCAGTGCACGATTGAGATCAACGCGGCGCACGCAGCACCCATCGCCGTAGAGTATCGAAGACGCCTACGGCGAATCACCGCCGCCCCCTGCCTTTTTGGAAGCGCCTATGTGGCCGAACGTTGAGGCCAGGCCTGCCAAGCTATCGGACCATGTGTTCACCGAATCGGTTTGGAAAGACTTCAGGGAACACGTGGGCATCTTGAAGGTCATCTTGGCCGTCTGGAGGCCATTTTGACCCTTTCGGGGGGCCTTCTTGGGGGGGATCGGAGTGGGAGCGACGTCTTGAGAAGGGCTCTTGGGCCGTCTGAGGCCATCCTTGGCGATTTTTAAAGGGCCTCCTGGGCCGTCTTGGGGCCTCCTGGGGCCGTCCTTGGGGGCCTCTTGGGCCTTCTGGGGTCCTCTTACAGGCCTCTTGGGCGATCTTGGGCGATCTTTTGGGGGCCTCTTGGCCGTATCGGGCCGTCGGTGTTGTTTGCCGGGCGAAGGAGTGGATAAGCCAAACGAATGCAAAATGTTCAAAATCCAATCCGTCGAAAAACAGATGGGATCAGGCGGAGGCGGGGGGGGGGGAGAAATAAACTGTTTTTTGCCTTCCTGGAGGCCCTGTTGTTGGACTGCTTGAGGCCCGTCTTGGCCAGCTTCGCGGCCAACTTCGGCTGTCTTGGTGGGCTCCTGGCCCGTCTGACGCCGTCGGAAGCCGTTTGGGGGACCTTTCTGGGCCGACTTGGGGCCCTCTTGGGGTGCTCCAGGGCCGTCTTAGAGGCCATCTTGGGCGTCTTGGAGTCCTGTTGGGTCGTCTTTGTGCCCTCTTGGGGCCGTCTTGGTGGCCTCTTGGGCAGTCCTGAGGCCATCTGGGAGGCCTCTTGGGCGCTGTGGGGGCGATCTTGGGGGCCTCTTGAGCCGTCTTGGGTTGTCGGGAAGCCGAGAAGAAGCGAATGCCAGAATCCTTCAAAAACCGAGGGAAAGTCAATGATTTCGGCCTCTTCGGGCCCTTCTCGAGGACCTCTTGGAAGCCTCTTGGGCCGTCTTGGAGGCCTCTGGCGGGCCTCTTGGACCGTCTTCGGCCGTCTTGGACACTCTTGGGCCGTCTTAGAGGCAGTCTTGGACCATCTTGGGCGGACTTGGAGGCCATCTTGGACCATCTTGGAGGCCATCTTGGGCCAACGTGGCCATCTTGGCACCATCTTGAGCCATCTTGGAGGATTTTTTTCTGGATTGAGCGCCTTTCTGGGTGGCCGGCGGGACGTGCCGGAGCCCCAGGGGTAGTTCTTTTGGAAAAAGAACCAAAACCAAAACCAGAGAGGGAGCAGCACGCCAGACACCCCTGCGATGAATCAGGGGGCGGCGGATCCAGCTGCCTGCGGCAAGTCACGCCACCGTGTCAATCGAGTACTCTGGATGGCGATTGCTCGAGCAGCGCAGAGGAAGCCGTGACGACCGTCTTGGGCTCACGGAGGCCCGAAACAGCGAGAACGCGAAGCATTTCTGTTTTAAAAGCCTCAGCACAGTCATTGATGTCGGCCTCGTTGGGCCCTCCTGGGGGTCTCCTTGAAGCCATCTTCTGCCGTGTGCGGAGCCTACTGCGTTGTCTTGAGGTTGTCCTGGGACGCATTCTTGCGGCCAGCTTGGGTCGTCGTGGAGGCATTCTGGGCCCATCTTGGCGGCCGTGGTGGCCTTCCTCGGCCGTCTTGGAAGCCTTGGAGGGTCTCGGGTAGCGCCAGGGAGGCGTCAGAACGCCAAGGAGGCCTCGGGAGGGAGGGGAGGTGCATATGCAGCACTCTGCTACTGGGAAGGGCCCCACTGGAAGATTGCAGGAGCCCCACCAGACCGCGCTTGGCATGCCACCACGCCTCAGCGCGCCATGGGGGCACGGTGGCGGATTTCGATGTGGAGTCGTACTTCGACTACCTCGTGATCAACGGGCGGCAGTTTAGCGGCAGGCGCCGCCGTCCCCACGGGTTCACTCCGTCGTCCAGCATCCTGTGGTCGTCCGACTTCAGCGTTACGAGGCGCGGGTGGAGGATGTGCGAGCCCGAGCGCCGCCTTCTGGAGCAGGCCCCGGAGCCTCGCGGGCCCGCCTCTGCGCTGGCGGCAGCCTCGGAGCCCGCGGAGGCGGAGGCCGAGGCCGACGCCGGGGCTCGGAGCATGGCCCTCCGCATCCTCGTCGTGGCGGCCGGCGTGTCCCTCTGGGCTCTCCTGGTGCGGCACGCGCTGCAGAAGAGGGCCCCGCCCCCCCGGCGCGGCGACCCGGCCGACGGCGGTGCCGCGAGCAGCCGGAGCGGCGGGGCCTACCTCAACGTCCTCGGCGACGCGGAGAGGGGAGAGCGGAGCACCGCCCGCGCGCCCTCGTGAGCGAGGCGCAGAGGGGCCCGGCGGGGGGCCCCCGGCACGGCCACCCGTGGTTCCAGGGCCACCTGCCGCGCATGCGGCGGTGGCTGGGCTCGCGCGGCGGTGGAGCTCTCGCGACCCTCCCCTCTTGCTGCCCCACAAAGGGGGGGGGGCCCCTCGTTCGGCAAGCGCGCCCCGCGCGGGGCGCAGGGCCCGTGCAGGGAGTCGCCGTGAGGCCAGCGGGCCCCGAGGGGAGCGAGCCCAGAGGCTTGCCGCCCCACTGCGGGGCTCTCGGGGGCCTCCCCGGGCCCCAGGAGGGTCGGGCCGCGCGACGCTGGAGGGCGAGCCATGTCCCGGCGAAGGCCCCCCCGGGGTCCGGGTCCCGCCTCCCTCGGGGCCCGCTTCCCTCATGACGACGGGGGTGGGGGGAGGCTCCGATGTGGCCCCTGTCGGCAGCGAGCGGCGCGATTTTTGTGGTGCCCGCGCCCGTCGCTGGGCCGAGGCAGGGCCAGGCGGCCTCGGCGGCGCGGGCGGTCCGGGCAGCGTGTTTTCTTGCGTTGGCCCCCCCCAGAGAGCGACTGGCTCCTCCTCTGCTGCGTCGGCGCAGCGAGGTGTCAGGGGGGGCTTCGCAGCGCCGCTCGAAGCTGTGTGCCAGCGAGGTCTGTTGGCGCCGAGACGTTGCCTCGTCCTCTTGGAGCCGGCGCCTCTATATTATGTTGGACGGCGAAGGGTTACCCGAATCAGGCGTGGCCGCGAGGGTTGGAGTGGGCTGTAGGGTTGTCCCGCTGCCCGGGGTAAGTCTTCGACAGGCCGTCTGTCCCACAGCACAGAGCACTTCTTGCCTTTGACTTGCTCGCGCTCATGCTGCTTCTTGCCCCCTGGCTTTGCGCGCTAGTCAGGTTCACTGCGCCTCGGGGCTCCTCCTCCCTCTCTGTTGCTCGTCCTCATCCTCTGCCTGCTGCGGCTGTGGTGCGGCTCGGAAGCGGTCATTCTGGTTTGTCAGTTGCTTGCGAGGCACGCTCCATGGCCGGTACAGGAGAGCCGGGGTGCGGCTCGGAAGCAGTAATTCTGGCTTGTCAGTTCCTTGCGACGCCCGCTCCCAGGATTTGGGCAGGAGAGCTGCCTATTGGGGTGCGGCTCGGAGGCAGTATTTCTCTGGCTTGCGAGTTGCTCGTGACGCACGGTCTTCGCTCTGTCCCCGGTGCAATGCTAGGGCCCGCTTAGCGAGTGCCGCCCCAGGCAATCCCTCCGTGCTTCCTCTTTCATGTCCTTCTCGCCCTGTCCTGCACCAGCTCCTCGCCCTGTCCTGACCCCTCATTTTTTGTCGCTGTTGTATCTAGACGAGGCGGCTCACCAGTCAGCCTTGTTTAGCGGATTTTGGTTCATTAGCAGGCTCTCTACAGCCGCCCAAAACACTTGTGCATTCACGCTGCGAGATCAGGGACTCAGCTGCCCTCCCCGAGAAGGCTTTTCGCGACAAGCGCGGCGCCGTCTCCGGTGGCTGGTCGTGCCGAAGCACGTCGCCCTTCGTGGGGCCCCCTCGTGCCGACGCGCCGCGCCGCCCCAGAAAAAGGCTTCGAGCGAGGAGGGCCACGCCCAGGACGGCCGTCGCCGCAGCGAGCTCGCGAGGAGGCCCCCCTCTGGAGCTCGTCCTCGCGGGCGTCCTCGCCCGAGCTGTCCGTGGACCCGGCCCGCAGCGTGGGAGGCAGCCTTCTTGGCCCCGCGGTCCGACCTGCCCCCCCCCCCCGGCGGAGGGCGCGGAGTCAGGTGTGCCCACCCGCGCCGGGTTCCGCGGCAGCCGCCCTGCCCATCCTGCGCTTTTTTGTTTGTTGGTTCGTTTTTTTTGTTATGTATATGTATATGTATATGTATACGTATATATATATATACATATATATATATATATGTGTGTAGATGTGTATGCATATACATATGCATTTATATGCATTTTTTTCCCTGATGGCGTGTGCTGACACGGTTTCTGGAGGTCTTGGTCAGAGCGCCACGCGTCCGAGGGAGAAACTTGGTGGTCGAGGAAGTCGAGGAGCGCATGGTCCGAGTTTCCACAGGCTTTTGGACGCTTCTCCCCTCTGTTGCTGCCTCTTGAGGGCTTCTCGTCGCCACTTCTGGATCCAGCCTCGCTCGAAGTCCTGGCCAGAACGCGCGACCGTCGCAGGTTGGAGAGAGCGCGCCCGTGGGGCCGAGGAGACTGAGAGGGGGGGGGGGTCCCCCAGCTTCAGAAGGGGGGGGGGTCCGAAGCTGCCGCACCCCTTTGCCCCCTCCCCTTTCCAAGCTGGGAACCCCCGTGCTGAAGAAGGGTGGGGGCGTCGAAGCAAGCCGCCCCCCTCCCTCCCTTGTCGGGGTCGCGGGCCAGCCAAGGCTTCCCTTTCCACGGGTGGGGGCCTCGGAAGCAGCATCCCCACCTTCCCTCCCTTTGTGACGCCGGGATCCCTCTATGTCTGTTCGCGTTCCTGAGCTGCCACGCGGCGAGTCGACCAGAACGGTATTGCTGTTCGCTGCTCCTGCGTTGCTACGCGACGAGTGGAGTGGACTTGCATCCATCCGTCCCGCATGCGTTCCCCCGTGACGGGTAGAGTGGGTCAGTCCAGGGTCTGGGGTCTTGGGTCTCGGGGTTCATCCTTCACCCGGCGGGCCGCGGAAGCTCATCATCTCAAGACGCGAAGCTAGGACTGGACTCGACGTGACTCCTGCAGGCACGGCGCGCGGAGCACTGATCGTGGGTGCGCACGACGTTGGACTGCGTGGAGTCGGCATGCCAGACATGACCCCACCGCCGCAAAGCCATCCAGGAGCGCGCCGAGGATCTCCGCGGGCCTCCGTTGCACGGTAGCCTCCAGGCGCCTCCAGGCCGGGTCAGATCCTGGGTGCCATCCGATGGCTTCAGGGGCGGGATGTCCCGAGAGATCGCGGGCCTCCCGTGCAGGAGCCGGCCCCGCGGGGTGCCTCTGGGGATCCCATGGCGGACGGCGTGAGGCGGCCCACCTGCGCCGCCCACGTGCTCCGAGGCGTCCACGAGCCTCCTCGGGCCCTGGGCGGCTTCTCTGTCGTGACGTCCCAGGGCATCCCAAGGGCTCGGGGCTCCCAGGGGCCTCCAGAGGGTGTCCAGCACGCTTGCGGGCCTGCAGAGCTCCCCGAGGCCATCCTCCCGGGGCCCCCGAGGAGGGGCCCCCGCGACCCTCCATAGAGCCTCCCGAAGGGTGCCTCCCCGGGAGAGGGGTAAAAAAACCAGAGGTTTGGCGCGGGGGCCGTCCGCTGGAGCCGCCGACCTGCGGCATGCGTCTTCTTCTTCCACGGAGGCCTCTAGGGAGGGGCTCCGTGTACCCCTTTTGGCTCCCCACCAAGCGTGTAACACTTGCGCGCCCTTGCTCACGAGTTGGGAGAGCGAGCGCAGCGGAACGTGTGTTTGCACCGACATCGCGCCCGAACGAGGCGGCGGAACACCTGCCGGCACCATGAGAGTTGTTTTTGCGGCAACTCGTGTGCAAGCACTGGCGCAGCTCTGTGCGGCATCGCCTTGCGGCGCGAAAAGGGTGCCGTGACAGCACTCCATGGACGGACGGGCACTCCAGCGATCTTGGGGGGCAGGCAGCCACGCTTTGGCGAGATTGGCCGGGCGAGTAGAAGGGGCAGGTGTACGGCTCCAACCTCTGGCGGACACTTTTTCGGAGGGACGCTCATCGCCCCGAATTTTGGGTCTTGACGGCCGCACATTGCTTCCCTCGTTCCTCGTTCTGGGTCGTGGCGGGCCTGCACAGCCAGTCCCAATCGGATACGGTAGGGGTGCGACTGGAGGTGCAGCAAGTGCACACTCATCCAAACTATGTCAAGTGGGATCAGGGCTACGACTATGTCCTCTTGGAGTTGGCAAGTGCGGCTCCGTTGAACGACTGTATCGGCCTCGCGTGCTTGCCAGCGGAGGACATCGGTGCGGGTGAAGAGTGCTTCACCACTGGGTGGGGGAAGGTGAATGGAGGGAGTGTCCCTGACTTGTTGCAGGAGGGTGGGGTGACCACTTGGACAAATGCAGATTGCCAGGCTCAATGGGGCATGTCAGGGATGACGATCACCGATGACATGCTGTGCGCTCAGGGCTCCAACGGCGGGTTGGTAACCGATATATGTCAGGGTGACAGTGGAGGACCCATTGTCTGCGCTTCAGGCGGCAGCTACTTCCTTCACGGTGTCGTTTCATGGGGACCTGTATCATGTGGCATTCAGAATTTCCCTGGAGTTTGGAGCCGGGTCACTTATGCACGGGATTGGATGACCGGGTTGATTGGGGATTGGACGGCGCCCCCGACGCCATCACCCGCACCTCCAGCTACAACGACAGCGGCGCCGACCGCTCTCCCAACAGCAGCACCGACAGCTGCGCCGACTACGGCACCAACGAACACGCCGACCGCATCCCCAACAGCAGCACCGACAGCTGCGCCCACTGCAGCACCAACGGCAGCGCCGACCGCTTCCCCAACAGCAGCACCGACAGCCGTGCCGACTGCGACGCCAACGGCAACGCCAACAGCAGCACCGACAATTTCACCGACTGCAGTACCGACGGAGGCACCGACTGCGTCCCCCACAGCAGTCCCGACAGCTGGGTCCACAGCATCACCGACCGTTTCCCCAACAGCAGCACCGACCGAGGCGCCGACAGCTGCGCCTGATGTGCCGACTGCAGTGCCCACTGAAGCACCGACCGCTCCCCCAACAGCAGCACCGACAGCCGCGCCCACTGCAGCACCAACGGCAGCGCCGACCGCTTCCCCAACAGCAGCACCGACAGCCGCGCCGACTGCGACGCCAACGGCAACGCCGACCGCTTCTCCAACTGCAGCGCCGCCGACTGCAGCACCAACGAGAGCACCGACCGCTTCCCCAACAGTTGCACCGACAGCCGCGCCCACAGCCGGGCCGACCGCTTCCCCAACAGCAACACCGACAGGAGCACCGACGACAGCACCAACAGCCGCGCCAACTCTTGCGCCGACAACTTCGCCAACAGCAGCACCGACAGCATCACCGACAGCCGCGCCGACTCCCGCGCCGACTGCTTCGCCGACTGCAGCACCGACGCCCAGTTCTGCGCACATGTGGGCGGCCATTTCCGGCGCGTGTACGCTAGACGGTGCATGTGTGCAGAGCGCGAACTATCCGCAGCCTTACGGCAACAACCAGAAGTGCACGATTGAGATCGACGCGTCCAACGCAGGACCGATCGTCGTGGAGGCTTTCAATGTAGAGTCGTATTTCGACTACATTTTGATCGACGGATGGAAAGCATATACTGGAACTTTGGGTCCGTCTGGGTTCACCCCGTGGTACAGTATCATGTGGTCGTCAGACTTTAGTGTTACGCGGAGCGGGTGGAAATTCTGCATGCCAGTGTCAATACCTGCACCCCTTCCGACAACAGCACCAACGCCATCGCCGACCGCTTCACCAACCGTTGCACCGACAGTTGCGCCGACTCTTGCGCCGACTCATTCGCCGACCGCTGCACCGACGCCCGGTTCTGGGAGCATGTGGGGTGCCATTTCAGGCCCGTGCGTGCAAGACGGCGCATGCGTGCAGAGCCCGAACTACCCGCAGTATTACGGCAACAGCCAGCAGTGCACGATTGAGATCAACGCGGCGCACGCAGCACCCATCGCCGTAGAGTATCGAAGACGCCTACGGCGAATCACCGCCGCCCCTGCCTTTTTGGAAGCGCCTATGTGGCCGAACGTTGAGGCCATGCCTGCCAAGCTATCGGACCATGTGTTCCCCGAATCGGTTGGAAAGCCTTCGGGGAACACGTGGGAATCTTGAAGCTCATCTTGGCCGCCTGGAGGCCATGTTGAACCTTGCGGGCCTTCTTGGAGGACGTCTTGGAGGGCTCTTGGGCCGTCTTGGAGGCCATCCTTGGCGTCTTTAAGGGCCTCCTGGGCCGTCTTGGGGGCCTCCTGGGGCCGTCTTGGGGGCCTCTTGGGCCGTTCTGGGGTCATCTTGGAGGCCTCTTGGGCGATTCTTGGGCGATCTTTGGGGGCTCTTGGGCCGTATCGGGCCGTCGGAAGGCCGAAACGAAGCAAATGTCAAAATCCGAATCCGTCGAAAACCTAATGGAAAATAACTGTTTTTGCCTTCCTGGAGGCCCTGTTGGAGGCCTCTTGAGCCGTCTTCGGCCAGCTTCGAGCCAACTTCGGCTGTCTTGGTGGGCTCCTGGCCCGTCTGACGCCGTCGGAAGCCGTTTGGGGGACCTTTCTGGGCCGACTTGGGGCCCTCTTGGGGTGCTCCAGGGCCGTCTTAGAGGCCATCTTGGGCGTCTTGGAGTCCTTTTGGGTCGTCTTTGTGCCCTCTTGGGGCCGTCTTGGTGGCCTCTTGGGCAGTCCTGAGGCCATCTGGGAGGCCTCTTGGGCGCTGTGGGGGCGATCTTGGGGGCCTCTTGAGCCGTCTTGGGTTGTCGGGAAGCCGAGAAGAAGCGAATGCCAGAATCCTTCAAAAACCGAAGGAAAGTCAATGATTTTGGCCTCTTCGGGCCCTTCTCGAGGACCTCTTGGAAGCCTCTTGGGCCGTCTTGGAGGCCTCTGGCGGGCCTCTTGGACCGTCTTCGGCCGTCTTGGACACTCTTGGGCCGTCTTGGAGGCAGTCTTGGACCATCTTGGGCGGACTTGGAGGCCATCTTGGACCATCTTGGAGGCCATCTTGGGCCAACGTGGCCATTTTGGCACCATCTTGAGCCATCTTGGAGGATTTTTTTCGGGATTGAGCGCCTTTCAGGGTGGCCGGCGGGACGTGCCGGAGCCTCAGGGGTAGTTCTTTTGGAAAAAGAAACTAAACCAAAACCAGAGAGGGAGCAGCACGCCATACACCCCTGCGATGAATCAGGGGGCGACGGATCCAGCTGCCTGCGGCAAGTCACGCCACCGTGTCAATCGAGTACTCTGGATGGCGATTGTTCGAGCAGCGCAGAGGAAGCCGTGACGACCGTCTTGGGCTCACGGAGGCCCGAAACAGCGAGAACGCGAAGTATTTCTGTTTTAAAAGCCTCAGCACAGTCATTGATGTCGGCCTCGTTGGGCCCTCCTGGGGGTCTCCTTGAAGCCATCTTCTGCCGTGTGCGGAGCCTACTGCGTTGTCTTGAGGTTGTCCTGGGACGCATTCTTGCGGCCAGCTTGGGTCGTCGTGGAGGCATTCTGGGCCCATCTTGGCGGCCGTGGTGGCCTTCCTCGGCCGTCTTGGAAGCCTTGGAGGGTCTCGGGTAGCGCCAGGGAGGCGTCAGAACGCCAAGGAGGCCTCGGGAGGGAGGGGAGGTGCATATGCAGCACTCTGCTACTGGGAAGGGCCCCACTGGAAGATTGCAGGAGCCCCACCAGACCGCGCTTGGCATGCCACCACGCCTCAGCGCGCCATGGGGGCACGGTGGCGGATTTCGATGTGGAGTCGTACTTCGACTACCTCGTGATCAACGGGCGGCAGTTTAGCGGCAGGCGCCGCCGTCCCCACGGGTTCACTCCGTCGTCCAGCATCCTGTGGTCGTCCGACTTCAGCGTTACGAGGCGCGGGTGGAGGATGTGCGAGCCCGAGCGCCGCCTTCTGGAGCAGGCCCCGGAGCCTCGCGGGCCCGCCTCTGCGCTGGCGGCAGCCTCGGAGCCCGCGGAGGCGGAGGCCGAGGCCGACGCTGGGGCTCGGAGCATGGCCCTCCGCATCCTCGTCGTGGCGGCCGGCGTGTCCCTCTGGGCTCTCCTGGTGCGGCACGCGCTGCAGAAGAGGGCCCCGCCCCCCCGGCGCGGCGACCCGGCCGACGGCGGTGCCGCGAGCAGCCGGAGCGGCGGGGCCTACCTCACCGTCCTCGGCGACGCGGAGAGGGGAGAGCGGAGCACCGCCCGCGCGCCCTCGTGAGCGAGGCGCAGAGGGGCCCGGCGGGGGGCCCCCGGCACGGCCACCCGTGGTTCCAGGGCCACCTGCCGCGCGCGCATGCGGCGGTGGCTGGGCTCGCGCGGCGGTGGAGCTCTCGCGACCCTCCCCTCTTGCTGCCCCACAAAGGGGGGGGGGCCCCTCGTTCGGCAAGCGCGCCCCGCGCGGGGCGCAGGGCCCGGGCAGGGAGTCGCCGTGAGGCCAGCGGGCCCCGAGGGGAGCGAGCCCAGAGGCGTGCCGCCCCACTGCGGGGCTCTCGGGGGCCTCCCCGGGCCCCAGGAGGGTCGGGCCGCGCGACGCTGGAGGGCGAGCAACGTCCCGGCGAAGGCCCCCCCGGGGTCCGGGTCCCGCCTCCCCCTCGGGCCCGCTCCCTCATGACGGGTAACTTGGGGGTGGGGGGCGGCTCCGATGTGGCCCCTGTCGGCAGCGAGCGGCGCGATTTTTGTGGTGCCCGCGCCCGTCGCTGGGCCGAGGCAGGGCCAGGCGGCCTCGGCGGCGCGGGCGGTCCGGGCAGCGTGTTTTCTTGCGTTGGCCCCCCCAGAGAGCGACTGGCTCCTCTCTGCTGGCGTCGGCGCAGGCGAGGTGTCCGGGGGGGCTTCGCAGCGCCGCTCGAAGCTGTGTGCCAGCGAGGTCTGTTGGCGCCGAGACGTTGCCTCGTCCTCTTGGAGCCGGCGCCTCTATATTATGTTGGACGGCGAAGGGTTACCCGAATCAGGCGTGGCCGCGAGGGTTGGAGTGGGCTGTAGGGTTGTCCCGCTGCCCGGGGTAAGTCTTCGACAGGCCGTCTGTCCCACAGCACAGAGCACTTCTTGCCATTGACTTGCTCGCGCTCATGCTGCTTCTTGCCCCCTGGCTTTGCGCGCTAGTCAGGTTCACTGCGCCTCGGGGCTCCTCCTCCCTCTCTGTTGCTCGTCCTCATCCTCTGCCTGCTGCGGCTGTGGTGCGGCTCGGAAGCGGTCATTCTGGTT